TTTTTTTTTTTTTTGTAAGAACTGCCCAAAATTTATATGTATATGCCAGATGGTGAAATATTGATAACTTTTTTTAGCACAGAACCCTCTTCAAGAAGATTTTGAGTGAAACCTAATGAATTTCGAAAATGGATGTTTTCTTTATTTAACTATTTAATTATTTTTTGCTAATATAATAATTATTTTGTTATTGTTCTTGCCATTTATATCTCTTTATTTCTTTATCCATAGTGACTGTGTGATGCTTTATTATATTTTTTTAAAGTGTCTGCATTTAATGAGAAATACTGAATACATCTTGAGTACATTTGAAATTAATTTTTTCTAAATGCAATTTGTGAAGAGAGTGACTCCAATGAAAATTAATGACACAAAATTTATTTTATAATTCAGCGTTTTACATGGAGTGGTAAACATATCAGTATTGAAACACTTAGACTAGTCCCAACATATGATTATACCATGATTTTTTTAGTCCCTTTCACAAATTCACTTCAAATTCATTTTCAGAAACAGCATTCGTTTTCAGAAACAGCATTGTAGCAAACAAAATGTATCTGGTTAACTGATGATGTCAGACAAAGGGCCTCTGTTTAGATGACTCTGTTTATGTTATAGTCATGCTTTTTAATTGTCAGGAAGCTTTTTTAATACTGGATGTGAGAAGGCTCTACAACTGGTGTCCATTGGGTGATATTATTATCATATTGGTATTTTGAAATTATACAGCTGATCATTTTGTCTCATTAAAATCTGTCTTCTAAATGTCAGGTGACTGCACATGGAAATTTTGTTTCAGGGTATTTTTCATATTTTGATATTGAAACTCCATTTATAAGTTGCTTTGAATGTCATCTCAATATAAATAATCATACTGAACAAAATGAAGAAAATTTCAACCTATTAGATACTGGTTGTACAGGGGTATTCTTCTGTTCTGCCTTAGCATATGTGTTACTAGTTTTACTGGTGTTCCTGTCTGATTTTTAAAGGATATCCCTTTTCATTGTTAAATTATTTGATGCTTTGTCACTTGTAGACTTACTTTGAAATACACGCTTCTTTATAATATGTTTAAATATTTATGATAAAGTGTATTTTGCCGTCATTCCTGTAGTTTTTATGTGGTAATACTCATTACAATTTTAATCAGTATGGTGGAGTAAGAATTAATTTAAGTCTCTTCTGTTTGTACGGTTTTATTCACAATTATCTTAATGTAAGAACTTTTTTCACTTTGAACATAACTTTGCACATAAGATGTTGATATTATCCAAGTATTGTGATTTTTTGATAATTGTAATAACGGAGATTGTGCAACTGAATAAAATTTACAAAAGAACAGATTTGATATGTTTTGTCAAATCTAGACTAATCTTTGAAAACATTATAGCCAACGAAACTGATAATTCAGGGAAAAAAACGGCCATGGTTGAGAAATACCTAGATTTTAATTTTATGCTAACACAAAGAATCACAAAACGAATATTATATTGTGGCACAAGAAGCCCTCGCTCTAGTCGTCTGCCATAATAGGGGCAAACTACAAACAACATATTGATGTGACGATACAATAAACATACACCAAATAACTAATGGAGCACGAAGATGTTTCGTTTTACTTTATTGGGACTGGGGCCCTATAGATCTTCTCCTGGTGTGGTGGTTACAATGATTAAGCGTCTGGGTATTCTGGTTGACCGCAACTGGAGTAAATATTGCACATCTACTCAATGTAGCATTGTTTTAAAATAAGCAAAAAGTATCCAGTCCATCAGAAGCGATTAGCCTTCTGCTCATCACTTTTATAGCATTCATTTCTGTTGGCATTAGGATGATTTTAAATAAACATGTTTGTGGAGCTTTCAGGTCGATTTAAATAGAGCAAATGCAGAGCGGAAAATATTATTTCAAAATCGTGTTGATATTATACACTGGGGTATATATACTAAATAGAAATGTGATGACACCTGTGGGGGTAGCACGGCTCAGGTAGGCGGTTTGCTTTTGAAAATCATTTGGCAGTAGAGCCTTGTCCGTCTGCAGTCAGTCATGACAGCAAGATAGAAATGATCATATAAAAACTCTCCAGTATACTTGCACCAGCCGATGAAAGTGAAATCCGTCTGACTTTGTCGCCTTTCTGGGTGGCCGGCTCAAGCACCCGCCTTCCACTAGATTAAACAAATCCTTTAACTTGCACTTTTGTGCTCACACTTCCAGCCCAAACAACGCTTGATGAGTGAATAGGAAAGATGATATGACAAAAGATAAAAAAGAAAGTTTTATTTGCATCTGTCCTGTTTTGACTTCGGCGGTCCTTGTGATTTGTACTGTTTATAAATCGGATTACGGCCCATATTAGATTTCACTGATTGTTTTCTCTGATAACAAAAATTGAAAGCGATATTTCGATAGATAAGAGCAAATATTC